CTCCCTTGCCCTGCCCGGTGGTCCTCGCCGGCGCCGCGGTCGAAGCTGAGTTGCCACTGCCGGGCAGGTCCTGTCGAGAGGCGGAGGCACTGGCCCGGGAGGGTCCAGTGAAGCGGTTAGGCCTCGTGACGTAAGGATCACGGGGCTCCTCTTCAGCTTGCACATAGGCTTGTGCTGCGTCTGCCTCCCATACAACCGACCTATCTACGAAACCACCCTTAGGGTTTCCCTTAGGGGTCGGCTCGACTAGATTAGGGGACTTAGGGATATTTTGGTTTTGGCTCGACGACGAGGATCAAGATCCGAAAGGCTGGAGGGACGCCACCTCGGCAAGCACGGCCGTCGATCAGGCACGCCGGGAAGGAGCAGCGCCGACGTTGGCCAGGAAACCCGTACCGCCTTTGCGGACGGGCTGGACCAAATGAACAGCGTCGCGGAAGAGGAAATGAACGCGATCCCGGGGATCGACGATGAGCCCGACGACAACACGCCGTGGGCAGCAAACCTCTCCTTCCCTGAGTTGGTGGATCTGGTTTGAGAAAACTGGTGGATCTTTTCGCCGACTGCGAAGCTATCTGAATATGACTCAAGGGCCCTAACGGCAGCGGGAAATATATACAGTTAACACATGCATGTCATGGCCATGGCTTCCTGTACATGTACAACAGAGGGTGCATTCACACCCTGTCTTCTTGGTGCCGCAGCAGAGGTAACACTGACAATGTAAGCTGATAGCTGATAACCTGCAAGCACTACCGGTACTGCTAACTATGCCGGTAGTACCACTGCCAGGCCAGTGGCAATACTCTCATACTTTTAATTTTGCTTCACAATGCCGGACAATATTTTGCAACGTGTTCAGGGGCTGTAGTGAACAGGTCAAGGAATTCAAATGGCTTTGGCTGTCCAAACGAACACTGCTCTGTCACTACGGCTTTGAGATTGGAGAGGCTTGTGTGTGGGAAGTCTAGAAGCTTTGAGTCATTACCTGTTTGTCCTTCGAGACCACGCACCTGACTATCTCACTGAAGCTCAAATGCCAGCGCTTCAGATGCCAGCTCGGCATGTGCTTCAGCTCGTTCGGGAAACTTAAAAGCCCAGAACATACAAGAACCTCGATGTAGTATGCGCTGAACCCGTGTCTGTACATGATACCATGGCGCTTCTATGCGCTTCTCAATCATATCCGACTCATCTGCCTAGCGGTCCCTTTGAAAGACTCAACAAACAGAGTTCATCACAGACGGGGCGTGATGTCTTCAGTTCAAAGGAAGACATTAAGGGAAACGCACCAATCTTCTGATCGGGCATATCTTGTTCGGCTATACTAAACACCGAGACCCTGGTGTGCCATATGGTAGCTTTCGTCTCTATGTGAAGTGGCTTGAGAGAGAGCACGGCATCCATGAATTGCCGGGTAGGTGCATCAGGGGCTAATTGCACCCACCATCAGAATTAAATTAGATTCCCGCTCCGGTCTTGACTCATACTCAGTTCATAGCATGTTCACTACTTGAGCCTGGGATCGCCTGCTGCCTTTGAGAGGGGGTGTTGGCGGCTGCCTTTACAACAGGAGCTGGAATAGCGATAAGGTCTCCGGATAAATAGTGACTAAAGAGGGTTCATGCATGTACTGCGATGACAGGCGAGGGCTACGGGATATGAATAAACTTCTCGGGTCCCAACTTGTAGATGCAGAAGGGAGACGCGGAGCACGGCAAATGCAATAGATCAGCCCTCCAGGCTGCTCCAGGGCATATTTTCTGCGACGAAGTCTATGCCCCAAAGCCTACGACAGGCACCTTGCCTGCTGAAGGATGGCACCGCCAAGAGCAATGCACAAGAGAGCACCGACCATCGTTCGTGAATGCAGTTCCTTCCTTTGAATGGTACTTATGCACTTCAGAGTTCAGGGTTCACACGATGGCCAGTGCTAAAACTTCGGCTATGCCCGATTGGACTCTCGACCGAGTTGTGTCCCGGCCGCCGTCAACTCCATAAGCCAGGTTTCCGGGCTGAGCTTTAAGTGTGTTCCAGCTGTTTCTGCTCTGTTTGAGTGCCCAGTTCTTCGTGTCGAAGCCGGGCAGATATATCGTGCACTGCGTAGATACGAGTGACTTGTTGCCTCTCAGCTTCAATCACCGGGCCATTGCGGCCCATAGTACAAGCGTGCTTTCAATAGTCTGCTGGCATGCTAAGCCTAAGCTTTTTGTTGGAACACAATGCTCCGCAAACGCGGTCGGGATCCAATCATGAAGCGCAGCGCAAACTGGAAGATCACCTGAGCGCGGCTGAAGAGGCAAGTCGAAACAAGCGGCAAAGCTTCACCTTTCAACCAAAAGCCGAGAGCCCAAGGCCCAAAGCAAGAAACAAACGAGTCTTCCGTAACCCAAACCTTCGCAGCCCAGCATCCAAAGCAAGTTCAAAGTCTTGAAACCTGGAGGCATTATACTTTCGGTTGGAACTCAACCTCGGCCTTCTAGCGAAGCTTAGCATGCAAGCAAGCTTCGCTTTACCGTTGGCGACCGCCAGGTATGCTTGCCTTGGCTCATGCATAGGCGCTTCTCTTTCTGTGGGCGAACCAAATGAGCAAGTCTTGGAAAAGGCGGAAACGGAGGAGTATAGCATGTACAGGAGCCAAGCAGTCAGTTTTTCGGGTGCTTCTTCGAACAAGACCGGACTGCTTGTCCTCGCAACATCCCAACCAGACACCAACAGTTTCATATAATTTCCGGAATGCTTGAAGGAGTCATCGTCACCGTTGTTGAAACTCCTTCCAGAACCAACAACTATGCTTCTAAAGAACGTCCCACCACTCCCTTAGACGGCCAAAAAACGAGCTTACCCAGTGGACTACTGCACCGCTGCTGGGCGGATTCGCAGTTCATAAGGCGCTGCTTAAAAGGCTAGCGGCTAGCTGGTTAGCTTGCAGCAAGGCCGCCAGCCATCTTGCTCTAGTCTTCGGCGCTTCTTCTCAACGGTCGCGGCTTCGTCAGCCTTGAACCGATGCCCCTTCAACCCGAGCCCACGAAACTTCTGGAAAAGAAATCAAAAGAAGTGCCGGAAGGTTACACGAATTTGCGGCAAAAGGTTGCATAGTCTACACCGGCCCATGGCCACGGTCCAACAGGTGCTTGCACTGGACAACTTGTCACGCCTGACAGCATGCCAACCCCAGAAGAAACCTTTCCTCCTTGACCCCTTGATTCCCAGGCTGAACCCTGATAAACGATAAGCACATCGCTTTGAAGGACAAGTTCCGTTTCCCACTCCTTTCCATGAGTTCAGGAACACACTGCCCCCCCTCCCCCCACTCCCCCTACTCCAGAACCCTAAACCCTAAACCCACACTATCGAAATCTTAAGTGCCAGGAGGCCATATACCTGGCCATCTTTTGCCTCTGGCCTGAGCCAAGCTGGGCCATGAATCCATGGGCACTCCAAAGAAGTTTTCGGGCCTTCCCAACTAAAACCGCCCTTGATAGGGCCCCCCAAAAGCACATAAGCAAAAATTAGGATAGGGATATCCCCATAAAATGCTTATGCCTATGTGCTTTTTGGGTCCCTAACTTGAATCAGTGTCTGGGGCTATCGATCTGTCACGGTTTCAAATCATTTTCGTGCCTGGGTTGGCAGCCCCCAGGATGCGCACGGCGAGAAGCCCTGCGTTGGCCGCGTTGCCGATTGCCACGGTGGCCACAGGAATGCCTCTTGGGGGAAGATAGTACTTTGGGGATTCCTTATGATAGTTATAGTATGATATACCTCCCCAACAAATGGGCAGTGCCAAGAGTGGGGTTGACTTTTGGCTTCGAGGCCGATGCTCAGAGAGTTGAAAGATGAATCACGAAGTCCAGCTCCAGCTCCGCGAAGCTCTGCGCGTCTTGTTACTCTCGGAATTTTAGTTCGTGGGTTGCTGTGGCTTCCTCCAGCAGAGTGTCGAACTGTGGGATTCCTTGCCCGATAATGTGTAATCTTGTGACCTGCAGCCTGATCAGCCCAACCACAGCTTCGCCTGAGACAAAGACCCCCAAACCAACCCTAAACCCTAAACCTAGATCCCAAACTCTAAACCCTTCGCCTTCGACAAAGACCCCCAAACCTGCAAAACAGAAACCTTCGGTCCGCAAGCCTTGCCCCTGCGGTGAATACGGGAGTTCCCGAAAACAGGGGACCCGAATATAGTACCCTAAATAGATCCTTATAATAAGGACCCCCAAAATAAGATACCCACAATTTTCGGAAACTCCCATACTGGCTTCAGACATGCTGTTAAGTCCTCAAACCCATCCCTCACTCCACATCACCGTGCCTTTCGGCATCTGAACTATGGAGAGCAGCGAGTCGTTTCCACTCAGGGTGGAGGACTTGACAGGCACGCCAATCCTCAGGCCAAAGCAACAGGAAAGTCTCGAAACCCAACAGCATCGTAGTGGCCTTCTTATGCACTTGGGGGTGGTCGGCCTTGACTTGATCTGACAGATGCAAACAACACTTACTCAACCGACCTCTTGAATTTGGGATAACTTGGGGGATGTAGACGGGCCTTAGGTTGAGGGATAATTGACACCGGGACTCACTGGCAAGGGTGTCAGTGCTGCCACCATGCCAGGGAGGTGCCTGAGCGGCCGTTTCCAGGCAAGGTCTTTCTTTGACTCGGGAGCTCTACGGCGCAGAAGTTTGGAAACACATCAAAAGGGGCGGATTTGTAGAATATGTTACATCGAAGTGACACACACACACACAAGCTGCCGAGGGATTCTGGAGCTGTAGGTTTTTTGGTGTTTACTCAGGGCTGACTTCCAGATCAGACTTCCAAATCACCCGCAGTTTGAAGCCTCGGTTCAGGGTACGGGGTAGTGCCGAGCCCAAGTGGCAAATGTTTGAGAAACATCTGCAAATCCAAACGCCCAACACCTCCGAAACGGTTCTTCGGTCTCTCGCCCCGAGCCTCCCAAACAGTCTACAATCTACGATTTATCCAGAGAGCGGCCACGATCTCATCTCAAGTCGTAGCCGGGACAATGTCTCAAGCCCCTAGTCCAACCGAAGCACGCGGCGCCGCCGGCACCTGCGATGATGACGTTGATGCCTCGGGCCTCCGCCGTGGTCGCATACTCGTACCTGGGAAAGAATTGTCGGGAGCTTCTGACAATTAGGGCCCAAGTGGCAAGTTCCCTGCTCTGAACTGCGGCATGGTGACGTGTTTCCTTTTTTTGGGGGGGAGGAGGGGGGGGGGGGGTACTGAAGTAATTCCCAAGTTTCGAATACTCCCTGTGATATCTATTTTGGCATGTGAGGCTGCGCGGTATCCTGCACGCCGTCAGCTTCAACCTGGAAGCCTCAAAGTGGGGTTTCGACTCGCACACTCGCACAATCGCAGGCACGGCAATGGACCCCATCAAAGTGGGGTTTAGGTTTATGGCCCTACACCCTAAACCGCACATCAAGCGCACCACTTGGACTGCTGAGAAAGCCAAGCAGCATGTACTCTGGAGTGCGATGAGCCGAAACGATGCTGATCCTGAAGTGTGGGAACAGTGCATATGCACGTCAGGCACTGCAGTGCAGGAGCATCTGAATAGCTGGGCTCTTGCTGTACTGGCCCCTAAGACCTCCTTTGACAGCCTCCATCCCACCAAAATCGCATAGCATCAGCCCGAAGCCATCTTCCGCTGAAGGCCACTGAGATGCTCGTATGGGATGCCGAAGTCGTCGAGGACCTGGGCAGCGTCCTGGTGGGCTGTGAGGCGAGGCTTCAGTTCTTGGGGTCTTACTACTTGTAGCTCGCCGGGGAAATGCTGATCTGGGGGCAAATTCCCTCAGGCATCTGATCCAGCCTTTCATCTCAAGCACAGGCTATGTCCCGACATCCAAGCTTGTTTTGAATGCTTCAGCCGTAGGCAAAGCAAACCCTGAAGGGCTGCAGGCCTTCATCGTGGGCAAATCGCTGTCACTGCCCATGATGATCCCCACACTGGGCGAGGGCTTGGTCGGAACCTGTCGCAAAGGAAGGCAAACAACATACCCTCTCTGCCTTATGAACAACTCCATTCGGATGTCTCCGAGGAGCATCCAGCTTGTTGACGGCATCATCACCATCAACAGCCTCAGATCTGCATGCGCGCAGATTGTACTCTCAAAACTGCGTAAGCTCATGCAAATACAGCACGCTTAGCAGTGACTAGCATGATGATCTCCTATGTAGCCAAGCACATCGATACCTTTTGGATCACACCATAGAAAATCTCACCATCAAGCTGTCATCCAAAGCACCGCCAGAACGGGGCGGATTTCTTCCAACGCGCTGGCCGGGGTGAAGCCGGTCACGGTGATGTGACCTCGGCTTCAGAGCTGAGCTCAAGAGTTCCAGGCCAAGTGGGGACGGGACAAAGCCCTCCTGGTCTGAGCTGGCTCGAAGAGTGGAAGATCGCCACTTAAACCGTTCTGAAATGATCTATACTCTTCCTTAGCTGAAGCCGAATAGGGTCGGAAGAAACTTCGGCTCTTCATCCGAGCTGCCCATCTTCCGGCCCTTGGCACAGCCCTCCTCACGGCACAGGTTGACTCACGAGGTCCGGGGTGGAAGGCCTTAATTCTTGAGGACTTACAGTCAAAGCGGATGATTCGCGTCTAACGGAAAAATTGTGAATGTTGCAGGAGCCTGATGGGAGCCTGCTAGCAAAGGAGGGGGGGTCTCTCATGCTATAAATACGCACAAGCAAACTCCCTGGCCCCATTCTCCTCCCCTCCTCAAAACTCACATCCCCAAAAGCATGCTTTGATGAAGGAGTTCTGCATTGGACGTTGGGCTTCGTGGCCGAGCTGGTGCCGCAATTTGGCCCAGCAAAGCCTCTTGAGGTAGACCAGGTAGACGGCTTTCAAAGGCGGCTTTCTCAGAACCACTGGTCACGCCTCAAAACCCTGCCCAGCATCAAAAGCCTTGCTGAATCTGGTATGTGCATCCCACTCTAAATTGTTGCGTGGGGCCTACCTCTTCCCAATCTGCTTAAACTCCAAAAAGTCCGAAGCCACAATTCCAAACGAGATCCCAGTGTGTGCATCCGCCTTGCCATACCAGTGGATGCCGGCATCCGGCACAAGAAGTGCGCGTCGAAGGGGGGCCATGGTCTTCGTCACCTCAATACTGATCATATCAGGCGTTCTGAGCAGGCAGAGAAAAAGCCTGCTCGCTTTTACCTAGCACTCCAACTGGCGTTACGTACGATCCGGCAAAACGGTTGCTATGTTAATACCATCCTTCATTGCCCAGCCACCATCTCCGGCGTCTCACCCTGTCCGAGGATGTTCCTTGGCAGGAGCCACTGCTCTGAGCTTGTACGTGCTTGGGGGGGATAGATAATACCATGCTGTTGAGTCAGGCTATATGTCAAGCTGCTTCTTATGGGCGGCAGTCAAAACACCCTGAAGCGTCGGAGCAAGTTCCAGTACAAATGATTCTTCGCTGGGGGGGGCTCCGACCCGAGTGCACAAGCTCGTACAATCAAAGTCTCACCATCATGGCGCCGCCGACTCCTGGCAAGGTGCACCAGCGCAGCATGTGTTTTCCCCACATGTCTGTTGCAAGTCTGGCTGTCCATGTGCTTGTACACAAAACCCAACCATGCTACCAAAGAATCGAAGTTTTCCGCTGCAGCCCGCAGAAGGTCAAACTTGCGGCAAGTCGAGGACGACTTTCAACACTATTAGCAAAGGCACTCAGCTGGCAATCGCCCAAGGGAAGGCCCAGCACGCACCGCAGGTGTTGCTCGAACTGATCGACACCGCAAGCTTCCTGACAGGTCCAAAGTTGATCATCGCTTTAGATCTGCTCATGATGAACCTATAACCAGCCGTCATCTTCAACGCCAGCGTCGCCCATCATCGTCACCGTCAACATCGTGCAGCAGGATCAGCAACACTTGTTGCCATCATACTCGCCATCTCTGCCCTTCCGCATCCTCGATACAACATGATCACCATTATTGTCATCATCACCACCATCATCGAGTTAAATACCATGATCGAATGAACACAGTCCTAAACATTGTTCCTTTCGTGGTCAGTGTCGTCTTCGTCGTCCTAATCGCGACCCCCACTCAAGAATCAAAGCCATGTCCAAACTTCAATCAACACACACCAAAGGCACAAACACATGCTAAGTTAAGCTGGCGAGTCCGGCAACTCGTCAAAACCATGTGCAAGGCTTCTGGATTTTTGAGCACTCGCCAAAACCACTCTCGCTGCTGTCATCTCACCCTGTTGACCAGCAATAGTCCCAGTCGGCAGTTCGAGCTTTGAATCAGCACTTCGGCCGTTAATTGCGTGTCAATGCACGGAATAATTTAACCGCAATTTTATCAAGCTTTGAGTTCTGCTGCGCAGAGGCGGCTGAAAAGGCTAAGCTTCTGCTTGCCCTAACTCTTCATCATTCCAAGAAGCCATGGTGTAGTGGCCGGTGTTGTGCGGTCGCGGTGCGATCCTGAGTTCGGGACTTTAAGGTAAAAGCCAGAAAGTTGGAATATGATTATCCTACATAAACCCTTTTATGGCAAATTATAAGGTATCCTACCCTGAAACCATATTCCAACTTTCTGGAGTTCCCTTTACGTGCTGTGTCCACTTCTGATGAAAATTACTTTGCTTCATGTCTAATGTGAGTAAATCTTTTGAAACTTCGTTCGAGTAGCTCGTTGAGCAGCACTGAGCCATCCTCGAGAAGGAACATCTCGACGCCGAATATCCCCCGAGCGTCGCCTCTGCACATTCTCTTGTAACCGAACGGGTTAAGGGACAAATGCTGCGGGACAGCCTTAGCTTCCTTTGACTTGAACTCTTGAGTGGCTGCTGTGTATAAGCGTCTGCTCACTCTTCGGATAGTGCTGTTGGTCGAAGTGTTCATGCTTCAACGATGACCAAACGAACGAAGACTGCATCGTTCGCAAAGTCACCGTCGATTACGGAAGATTCGCCCCGCTGGATTCAGGATGAACTCAGCTGAGGGTGCAAGTCCAAGAGTGAGTCTCGTTCAAAGGCCCCAAAAGTGGCTTAGGATGGTCAACCCGAGGAGCATACTGAAGGCGATCGCCATCAAGGTCATGTTCAGCATCATCAACAAAAGCACCACCACAAACAACGGCATCATCAACGCTAGAACCGTATCCATGTAAGCATGCACAGAATCATCATCCTCATCCCTACCATCAGTATGAGAGACGGAAGCCTTACTGGTACCATGTTCAGGATGACACGATACAGCGCCTGAAGCGTACAAACTTGCTCCCAGTCACCAAAGCTCTTGATGGCGTCGGTGGCAATCTTCTGCGCTAGCTCCTGCTGCTTCTGGGTAACCTTGTCGAGAATCATCTCTACTGGGGCTTGCTGACCATTCTGCTGACGCCAAGGTCTCGCGGGTTTGAACTCCAAGTAGCTCCCACAGGTGGTGTCAGGCAGGTGAAGCAAACACTGTCGCGTTGGACGGTATGCACCACTGGGTAGGTGCCTCGGTTTACGACTTCAGTGGTCAGGATGTGCTATGACCGAGGACCTAGGATGGCGCGTTTGAGACAGCGTCGAGTTTGACACGGCGTGCGCCCTGTAAATCATCCAAGATAAGGGTTTCAGCACCCCAAAAAAACTGCCCAGAGTCGGCCCCTCAGGGTGTCACTGCTGTATGATCGGTTAGTTGCTCTCGTAGCTGCGCATGGTGACGTTCATGGTCTCGTCCACGCCACGGGCGACCATGACTGCCAGCTCCATCTTGAAAGGAGCCCATTTCTCCACCTGAGAAGCTTTCTAGGGCAAACTATCGCGGAAGGAGTGGGGCTGGGGACTGTTGAGCCGACAACATGCATGCCTTCAGGGCAGGCTGACATAAAATGCCCCCCCTGCTTGCTGGCAAGGTTCATACAACTTCCTTGGCTGGCACGGATCGAAGCAACAGCACACAAAGGACGACGGCCGAAGGGCTACAAATCTGTAGTGGCAAGCCCCTGCTCTTTACCTTTTCCTGGGTCCTGCATTGGCTATGATTGGCTCTTCGGGGGATCTGGCAGCCTGGAGCTGCACCAATAAAATACTCTACTCCCCTGAGAAACGCCAAACCCCACACAGGCCGAGATTCTTGCCGGCCTTGCCTCCAAGCTTTTCGAAGGCTGCTGTGATGCCCTGCCTCAGGCACCGCTTCTCAAGTTTTTGGGGGACGTCAGGGAGCATGAGGACGAATCTCATGCCATGCCAACAAACATCAAGCTCCAGCAATCGTTTCAAGAAAATGCCGGACGTAACCAGCAAACTACATTTCCGAGCAAGGCCAACTGTTATTATTGATGGCTAGCGGCGCGTTCGGCACAACAGCGTTGCCCTTGCCGTCGTAGGCTCCGTATCCTCAACTGTAACAGGTCCAGCTGTCAGAGAACTACGGATTCCTTTAGACTTCTCTGCTTTCGAAGCGACGGGAGATCAAACTTAGGAAATGTGACATGCACCGGAGATTGTGTGAAATTTCACGCATGAAATGCAGACTAAAGGCTGCTCTTGAGCATCATGGGGTAGCCAAATCGCTCGCCGATGCTGTGCAAGTCAGCTTCCTCGTGCGCTTCTTGCGTGAAGTTCGAAGGTCTCACGCCAAAAGAACTTAAACCCTAAACCCCTATATAATTCAAAAAACATAAGCTGCCTATCGGATTATCGAAGCTTGCGCTTCTTTTTGATGCAACCAGGAAAGTCGGCTCTGCTGTGCAAGTGTCGGATTCTACCTTCTCGAACTCGGGCAAAGGCACACCATGCTTTTGAAGATGGACCTTCCTGAGATGAACACAGGACGGTCTTACTTGACTTTGCCAGGGATCTGAATCTACGCACACACCACGGACGGTTTTGAAAAAGTGTTGGAATCCCTCAGGCATGCTCCGCAATTTGGCTCATCATAAAGCTAGAGAGTCACAGATCGACCAAAGATCCAACTGCACCAGCACGACGAACTACAACTGACACAAATCATCTGAGTTGCTGCACGTACTTGTCCTGGCGGCAAGGGTGCGAGGTCCGAGACTCCCAATTGCCACTGGAACATTAAGTATAATGGAGTAGAGTATAATGTACTATAGTATAATATGCTATAGTATAATATAGTATGGTATAATATATTACAATATAAATGTTTAACCATGTTAGTTTTAAAGCATGGATGCAATGCATGTGCCACGTCTCAGAAAGCCACATCCGAAATCGATAAGTCATGTTCCCTCTGCAGCTTGGAACCGCAGCCAGCCACCCCTTGTAATCATGTAGGGCAAGGGTTTGCGATGCGGGCTTTGTTGATTTTGATGGGTCCCGTCGTAAGACCCACGAATCATGCCGTCTGATGTGTCTGCGAGTTGTGGGATCTCCTCTGCGGCCACATACTGGTGGAAACCCACATCACATTCCAAAGCTAGCGATTCCTTCGAATCATTCACACAAACTCGGATATCTATGATCACGTGAGCCTGAAACACGGTCTTACTGTGGCGCACACACCTAAGAATCAACCATCATGAGCTTCGCACAAGCCTAAGACCCAAACAGGCCTGGATGAGCTTCACCACGAAGGGAAGCGGCTGAACCGGAACGCCGGCTTGGTGGAGCTCCTCGAGCACCTCGCACGCGAATCTGAAGAGTTTGGGGTTTCGATATCGACTCGTTTGCTCGCGCAATGCAGGCAAGGATACACGACAAGTCTTTTTCCCTGGGGATTCAGACTGCGGAGTTGAAGCCGGGGGGACAAATCAAACGACTATTCTCAGCAAAGCTACTGTCGCTGCCTCAGGTACGCCATTAAGGCACCGTTGGAGGTCGTTGACTTATGCGACACAACATGGTCGTGATGATGGTGACAATGGTGACTATGTTCACGATGCGCCTGATAAGCGGCAGCGGTGAGATTAAAACACCGTTGCTGACACTTGCCATGCTGATGTTGACGATGCTCCAGCAGTTCGTGATGGAGATGATGAGATGAAGTGGTACCTAGGTGGTGATGAAACCGCTGCCCAAGGCTCACTGTTATGTGAGTACTGGTGTGATGCCTGGTTCCGCGGAGAGGCGGACAGGGCCTACTACAAAACCGGTGCAAGTGCCTTTGGTGGCTTGCTAGTGGTGGTGCTGGGCAATTGTGATTCCTGTTGCTGAGGACTAACATTATCGGTGCTCGCGCTGAAAAGGGCCGATTGCCAGTCGCCTCTGCGTTGACGTGCTCCACCTCGAGCGTGAGGATGTCGCACTTCTTTGCCAGGGCTCGGACAGCGTCGGCGTCCTGCAGAGGGTATGGGGGTCTTTACGGCGGTGCATGTTTGATGCACACGCTTGGGCAACCTGGGGATTCGAGGCAACGCACAGTGCAACACAGTCAATGTAACTAGCTGCACTAGCTTCTGCCACAAGTTGAACACGCACGTGTGGTTTCGGATAAGACTTTATTCCATTCATTACCGACGGCAATGCGAAACTGAGATTTGACCCAACTAACATCGGCCAGCCTGGAAGCTGCCTTTCACCGACATTTCGGCAACCTGCCACGTTGGAGGGCTGCAGTGTTGAAACAACGGCTGCTGCCGGCTGATTGTCGAAAAACCGAGCTTGGACGACTGGACTCGAGCACAACTCCGAATGCTTCAAAAATGTGATACGTCCCGTCGTGGGCGGCACCTGTCCGGCGGGAGACTTCTCTCCAAGCGGGTCGAGCACGCACATCCTAACCTGAGCTGCACTGCGAAGCATCAATAACAACGGTGTGATAATGCAAACCGCAGGTTTCTGGATCTCCACGGCTTAGCCGAAAACCTGTGTCTCCACAGCCCCCCCAACACTGAGTCTGAAACTCAAAACTTCTCTACATCGCTCAAAGACCCAAGCCCTAGTCATCCTCGAAGCTCCATGTGGGCTACAAAGTAACATCATCTCGGTGGCTGCAACCCGATCAACTTCCTACAAACAATCGTGGCAAATGAGACTTCCGGTTTGTATATCTCGCCAAGGAAACTCCCAATCGATGAGCAGCGTAGACCATCATTCGGCCCAGCTGGCCTGCATGCACCAACGAGCTACAGGATGTCACAAAGCAAACCAACCACATTCGTCCTTCGCGGCACAGTAACCTGCCTCCACCCAGGCAGCCCACAGTTCGCTTGTCCATGGCGGCCTTGCAACGAGAAATGCGCGGCGGCTCTCGAAGAAACCATCCGAAGCAGCTCACAAGCACTCTTTGCATGGCGCAAACATGCCTGCTGCCGAGATGCTAGAGGCTCCGTCACTGGGCGTCTGGTACGCGGTAAGAAATGGCTGCGGCATGGTGCAATGCATGGTTGCAAACTGCGCAAAAAAAACATGCACAAACAACCCATACTCACTCGCCCGTGCTCTTCACTGTTTTCATGCTAAGGATTGACGAATGAAAGCAATGTCCCATCAACCCTCGGAGCTTTCATTGTGCCAATCGAGCCCGAATTTCTAGAACGTCCTGCCCCCCCTCCTCTCGGAAATGCAACTTACGAGAGGATTCAAAACACGGAAAGGACCAACGGCTCTGGTCCCGAATCCATCTTTGCGGCCGAAAAACGCCCATGTCGCCCATGCTTGGAGCCTCGAGCGGGCTGTCTCGCGGGCTATCATGTTACGTGGGAGTTTCCGAAAATTCGGGGTTCCTTGTTTTGGGGTTATAAGACGGGGCCTACTATTTCGGGTCATATGTTGGAGTCCCCTATTTTCGGAAACTCCCATATCCAAAAACAACTCTGGCCCCAGGCAAGCTTTCCAGCACGCGCCCACAAAATCTGGTGGCGTCCCCGCTACGAAGGCTCAACGCTCAGTTGCACAAAAGTCGCAACACGCAGCCGACAGTGCATAGGCTTGCCGGGGTGCCATCATTCCAGCTGCCATGAGCGACAGCTCCGAAGGCGGTGGCCTCTAGGCAGGAGATTCAGGCTGCCGTTGGGATTGGATTCTACCCAGAAACTGAGCAAGAAAGTATCACTCCACTGTGTGCGAGTCCCACCCAACAAATGTGCCCTTCCTGCAAACGGGAGACCTGATCGTCTCAAATCGCGGGGGTGGCATATCCGGGAGCGAGACGTCACCGCTATTGACGAGTCGGCACCTTGGATTTTCTAAGGGCTTGCGCTCCATGCAAATTCCGCAAGCCTGCCAACATACACGGTAAGACAAGACAGAGAAAGCATTCGATCGGCAGGCTCTCAGGTTTTTGTCGGTATTTTTGATCGTAAAAAGTCAGTTTGATGCTTGAACTTGAAGTTTCCTGCGTCGGCTATGGGGCATACAGAGTGGCGAGGACAGCTTCTCTAGCATCATGCCAACGCCCCTTCTGGCTATGTTCATGAACAAACGAAGGTAGGCTCGGCACTCGAAGATGGTACCGAAGTACTCGTGGAAGTCTTCAGCATTGAGCCAGAAGAAGCCTCGTGCTCTCGCCGACGCAGGACTTGAGAAGGCTTGCAGAAAGAGAGTCCGAGCTTGGCATCTGAAGTTTCAGTGTTTTCGTTCTGAGTTCTGTTGGTAGGAGTGACCCTCAGCAACAATAGCGATTGAACATGGAGGCAGCAGGTGCGGCCTTCAATCCTTCAGGTGACTTTGGCTTTCTTTGTCGTGAAGGCACACAGCTGTGAAGACCAGTTGCCTACATGAAAGTCGCGAGTCAGTTTTTGTTTCCGAAGCCGGGGGCCCTAAACTTGCCAAACCGCCTTGGCATCGACATCTCGAGATTTGTCAAAGTGGTTTCACATACCGAGTGGTCAAAGTCAGGTCTAGACTTCGCCAGGGCCTCGCATTGCAGGAGACAGACTCGAAAGAGGCTTAAGCTTAGACTTTCGAAGGTGCGTGCGAGCCAAGTTGCCATCCTCTCGTTTCTCCTGAGGATCTCAGAGCACAATTTCATGGTTGAATATAGACGGTACATGTATATCAGCGTCCCTATGTACTTTATGTCATACCTTCATCGGCAAGTCGAGCCCAGTGCTCCCAAGGCTCAGGGTACTTCTCATTTCGCGACAGCGTATAGGGGACGGTGATGTCTTGAAGGCCACCTGTGGAGGCTGGGCGGAACATCGCGGGCGCAAAAACCCAAACTCCCAAAGCGTGGACTGTCAAAGCAAGGCTTCAAATCCAGACATCACGTCAACCTAAACATTTGCATCTGCATCTTCGGAGTCTTACGGGCTTATCCTCGTTGCCAAGGGGCCGTCATAGACTCCCGGACCGCCGCAGAAGAGCTGAAGATACAAACCACCTTCGAGGGTTCAGGCGGTAATGGTATCAGAGGAAACACAGGTCTTGCTTGAGGCCGCCGATGGCGCAATTCGACCAAGCAATGTGCGAAAGTGCGGAGGAAGGGCCGGAGCAAGGCGGAGAAGACAAGACGGTGTGGCTCTCCAGCCGTGGTTTTCTCGAGGAAAGACTATGTGAGGACACTTCACTGCTCTGGACAGTCGCAGCGCACAGCTTGCAGGCCTTCCCAATGAACTGCTCGATTTACAGCATAAGGATAATACGGATTCAGCCTGCCGCGTCACTCTCTCGGGATGGGAAGAGTGCACAGACGATCCATGCCTGTGGCTTTGCTTTTGTTCAAAAGGGCCTGAGCCCCTACATCGGCTGGGCCGTCTCTCTGGACACCGAAAAAAACGTCCCTGAAATGGCAACGTACTGGAAAGCTCCAAATCACCCTGCGATGCACTCTTCTGGCCTGACACCCTGCAGCTCACACGTCGTTGGATTTGGCCTGCAGACAAAAAGCGTGTCCTGGCCGGCAGCAGGATGTCAGGGCCCTTGCAGCACTGATTCGACCGAGGAGAGAGTGGAGTAGTGATTCGAAGCACGACGGCGGCATGATGTCGACGTGCTGCTGCAGCCGAGAGTGGCCAAGTCGCGAAGTGGCTTCGGGCCTTGTGCCGCAACTAAGACCTCAAGACACGAGCACAGCAAGTCCCGCTGCAAGTCGTGGATGTAGATGAACAGCCGGTCGGGAGAGACCTGAGTCTTCCCGTTACTTAGGCTCCTCTGGAGAACTGGGGTCTGAGATTTTCTTGTTGCGAAATCCGAATTGCAGCTGAAAGAAGATCTTTCTTCAAGGGTCTTGCCTTCTCCGTTTTACTCGCAGTAGTTTTATGCTGAAGCCTGGGTGTGGAGCCTGAAACGCCGCTGAGGTGCATCCTGGGTGTAGAATCGGCCGGCGACGCCTCCTGTGAGGTCAGCGAGCGCGTCCTGGTAGCAGCTGCAGTCTCCCCTTACGCCGAACTTCTCATTGCTTTGGGGCAGTTTCTGGACGGTACGCTCCTCGACCTTGCCGCCGCCGTTCAGTGCCTCCCAGCCTGACCCAAATCAGGCTCGACAAAGATTGCACAACCATTCTTCGTAATGTGTCATTGGGATTCCGCTGTTCTGCATCTCCCGGGTGGATAGGAGAAAGTGTTCGAGCTTCCCACAGTTCGTGAGCACACAGGTTTCGACTCTTTTGAGAAATAAACATGCAAACGCCGACGGCCAGGAAATATGTCGGGTGACAAGAGCAAGACTTCGAGAAGCAATCTGCTCTCTGGTTCTGGATGCACGCGCTCGCAACTCGGACACAGCCCAGAAGAGCTCGCTGGGGTTCTGCTAGCTTGCATGCATAGTTCAGAATTCGGCGAAGGCTTTTTTGGCTGCTCTGGCCATGGCGTCCCGTCGAGCCTCCCATGTCCTCCTCTGAAACCGCACTGGGACTCAGCCGCAAGGTGTGGATCTTTGCCTCAGTGCGGTTTGCGGGTAGACTTGCGAACCGAGTTTCAATGCGCAATTCTCAGACTGGAAGCTTGCTGGCATGGGTACCCCAGAAAAGGCCAGTTAAACTGGATCGATCATATGTTGAAGCTTTTTATGAGTTCAAAGCTCGTGCAAGGCACGGCACAGAACCATCAGTGCACCTATGCCGGGCATTTTTCCCTCCCACCTAGCAAGGACGAAGCCCGCGGGCATCGGGGAGGCTGGCTGTGTCTTCGGCACCACTAGACCCGTGATCAGTGCCAGACCTTCATGCTGGGCTCGTGAAGGCTATGCTTCAAAGGCTTTTCTGATCAAGATATCGTCCGAGGCACGTAAGCCTTCTCGATAAGGCTTGGCCAGATGACATTCCTGAGGTAAAGGTTGCTTTCATGATCAGGACAAACCAGGCCGTTCTGAAAGTCTTCTCTGCAGACTACATCGCAAGCTTTGTCCCGACAAAAACTGGCACGGTATGCTAGGTAACATGGCAGATCGAGATGCGGGAAGTGCTCGGAGCGGCAGCAGATTGGCACGTTGACATCTGTGTCATTCCTGTGCGTCTGAACTTCCGCACTGAACAGGTTCGAGGTGGTCATTGACGCAGAGGCGCGGAATGGACCAGACTTTGAGAAGATGGGCTAGAGAACTTTTTGAGGGGTTTTGTGCTCTTCCCGGCCTCCCGGGTCGACCGACGGGGACGTAGTCGTCCTTAGAGCTTTGCAGAAACTTTTGGGAAAAAACCCACGGAGCTTGGGGGAAAAATCGTTGCTGAAGAGAGGGTTTAGGTATTGCCATGGTCTCGGATGTGGCAGGTTCTTCTTTGGGTTTAGTTGGTTGTGAAACCTAGGCTTGGGATGATCTGCATTCCAGGTCTGGCGGACAGGGCTCCACCTCCACTCGCATCCAGGTGCCGTGCTTGTAGAGCCTGGCGATGTAGACAGACCTGCACATCGGCCGGCAGGACTGCAAGTCAGATGCGCTTGTCTCACACTGCGGCATCTCCTTCAAAGGTGAGCCATTGATGGCTTCTGAGAGGTTTCTGAATGCTAGCTCCGGGATTGGATTCGTCCGAGCTTGCTCGTAGCAGCTCTCGTCCCAGGGCTGCATAATGCCGCTTCTCGGGTAATGCCAGGACTTATTATCATACATGTCCTGCACGCGCAGGCCGAGCCCAAATGCTCAGGTTTCATTCAGACAATCGCCTTTACTGCATCCCCATGCCCGACTTTTCCCAGTCTGTACATGCCGCAACATCGCTGAACACTCACCATCTTCTCGGGCCCGTCACTGCTCCGTAGCTCTGAAAGCCAAACTTCTAGTGCATGGACACTTTCAGTTGAATGTCGCAAAGTGTGCTGCCGCGGCAGTATTGGGAGCCTCACTTTCACCTTATATAACTCCACCCACACGCCTCAAGGCGCCCCGATCAACTGCCAAGCTCTCCTGCCTCCTTGCTTGCCAAGCATAGAAGAGCTGCTTGACGAGCTTCGGTCGCAGCGATATGGCCTTTAACCGTTAAGGGGGCTGTCGTTCTGTCGTTCTCTCGGCAAAAACCAAATCGGCAAGGCAGGCCGAACTGTGGACCTCGCATTGCATAGCCACAGCGGCATAAAACTTCCTAATACAACTGCCTACATCTCTCTACAAGGTCAATTTTTGAGCCGCCTCAACTGTAACGAAAACAAAACCCTAGGCACAAGCTAGCTCACAACGTGGAAACCACATGATAATCAGCGAGTGCCTGCAAAGCTTCTACGAAGTAGCCGTTGTCCAGTGCACCCTGGTAGACCCTGCCGCAGTGAGTCTTGCCTCAGTTGTGAGGACGAGTCTGGTTGGTGTGCTGCAGTGCCAAGCTAAGCGAGCGCCCTCCCGGATTCTAGGCACGGCATTCTCTTCCCCCAACCGTGCTAGAGCGGTGTACGCAGTGACGTGGTGCTGGAGGTCTGAGCCATTCCCATCAGGACCTTGTCGACAGTTACAGCCGTGACACTGCTGAACTCATCGAAGAGGTGTACGGCATCTGCGTGCTGAGCGAAGTCTACCAACCTTTCGCGGGGCTGCGCAGAAGGTTGACGGCTGTCTGCACACAGCGAGACAACCACAACCGCTGAACATCAGGACAAAAAAAACCACATAAACATAAACTTTCAGTAATGGGACACATAACTCAGCAACAGCATGAAGATGGCAGGTCTTCGCGAGTCTACCGGTCCATGGCTGTAGGGTTGGTACTGTTAGATCGTAGCGTTGGTTAAGGGGGACAGGTTTATCCCAGTCGCCAAGAAATGTTTGTAAGACGAGTGTTTTCGCTACATGTAAATTCGGTGTAGGATAGATTGGCATGACCTTCGGCAGAAAGGGCTTCCACAGCCTTTACTTGTGAGTTTGTTTTATCATAAGGGTTGGCAACGAGGCGAGAGGTGGAAGACACAGGTTACACCATGGGCTTGAGATTCCTTCAGGTGTAGGGTGCAGGATGCTAGCCGGAAGTATTGAAGTCCTTCGTTTGCATTGTTCGGTTGCGATACTCTTACTGGTAGCTTCTGCAACGATGGTTATCCTCGCAAGTATTGTATCTTCTCTCTAGCAGGAAGCAGCAGAAAAGCATTCCAGTAAGACAAGTCAGTAAGACAGTCGCATGATCCGCCAGTCGTGCTTTCGGGAAGCCCCCATATCAATCTTTAGAAGACTTGTCCACTTTCTGTTGGAGGCTTTCGCATTCGTGTGTTTGCGAAGCTCGCAGCCTCGAAAGTAGTTGATGGTTTCTCGGTAGGTTGTAGTCTTTGCCATGTCAAAACGTCGCGCAGTTTCGAGCCACAACGTCAATTCCAAGCGGCAGAAGACAGGCAAGGAGGTTGTGGCCTTGCTGGAGAGAGAGAAAGCAGAGCAGCAACAGAAGGATTTGAATTACATCCTCGAAACATTGAAGGGCGATCCGGACCGGATTCCTGCAGTGTTGAGCGTTCTGCGTCTGGACACTCCTGCGGGCTTTGATGCTTCCACCCACATCCCTCCCGACTACATCAAGCGCTCCTTCACTCGGTTGCCGAACAAGTTTCTCACAGAGTTCTACGAACATCTGGGGGCATTTGGAGGTGCTGAGCTCAAGAGAATGATAAAGGCCAACAACAAGTGCCTGGTGCAGATTCTGCAGCGGCTTTGCATCATTCCCCCAACGATGACGATCTGGACCAACGAGAAAAGCATCCTGGTGAAGTGCTTCGAGGGTCGCATGAACAGTCTGCAGCTCACACCGTCTGTCATCCATGTTCAGGATGACGACACGATTGATTGGACGAGCAGTGGTACTTTTCAGCTGCTGCCCGTCTATGACAAGTCTGGTGCTGTAGAGGAGTCGGACCACATTTACAAGGAAATCAAATGCGGCTCAGTGGTTGCGAGTTTGAAGACATTTTTGATCGTGACGGCTGCTTGGACCATCAGCATGAACTGGTCGCTAGTGGAGGCCACACTGGTGTGCCCTCAAGATGCCAACGTGGCGCCCAAGTGCACCAGCTTCTTTCAGCAAGGGATGGTTGCAGACCTCATGGAAAAGAACAGTGGTGGACTGCCTCTGGCCATGTCCAGCTCGGCAAAACAGCAGCTTTCGATCGAGGATGGCAGCCCAGAGGCGAAGGATCCGGATGGCCATAAGACTGCAGATGGAAAGGCAACGGGTGTTTGCGTGACACCCACCAAGAGCACAAGCATCGATGTTGGCATGTCAGGGTCCCCGTCCAGCACAACGGCCGGTGAGTCGATTACAGCGTCTCCGCCGCCGGTTCTGCCGTCAAAGGCTGCAGCTGCTCGCAAGCGCCTGTTGGGCAAGCAGTGATCGCCCATGAAGGCAATTCGTGCACAGTGCAGTCTGTCTTGTCTTAGGGAAGCAAGCGCGTTGTAAGAACGGAGTGCTGAAACAAACTAGTGCCAGTCAAAGCATAATCTCGTCGGGAAGCGTGTTTTAGTGTGAGCACCCGTCCGTATGCGTGTCAGTAATGCCCCTTAGATCCCAGGTGTATGTTTGCCCAACCAGTGCCTCCAGGCCGTGCAGCTTTGCAGCACGACTATCCCCAAACCCAAAGTAAGGAAGTTAGCCGCCTTCTTTGACCGGTCCTGTTGCTTATGATCCTCAAACCCCAAAAGAACCAATAACTTGAAGCCTTAGCCTAGCCTTAAACCTGAACCTCAACCTTAAACCCAAAAACCCCTGAACCTTGAAGTGTTTAACGGCTCGATAACCATGTCAAATCCGGGGCATGGCGCTTTCCAAGGGAAGCACCGTGAGAAGTGGGTGCTCATGCAGCTGCGAGGTGACTTCCAGCGTCGATGGTTGCAATCCTTTTGTAGCCTGACCTTCATACTGAAGCATTGATCCTATGGTTTTTGTAGCTTTCATTGTCATTTATGTACAATGGCGAAATCCCGTTTCAATCATAAAATCTCAAAGCAGCTGTATGTGCCAGGAGAGTCACCGAGACTCGAGTTTTGCGTTTACAGACATGGGGTCCACGGGTCGTGTTGGGGTTCCTAAGTTTTCTGCTGAAATAAATGCTATAGGGTTCAGGGCCGGAGCGCAAGAAGTCTCACCCAGCAACGCCTCAAAGCCAAGTACGAACTGCCCGAGCGTAGAATAACACAGTCTTTTTTCCACCCCAAATGAACTTCCTTGGGCCTAGGAGTTGTGCCTTCGTTCTTGTTAGCATTCAAACTGTAAATTTCAGTCGCTGTGTGGCTTTGGGCGTTTGACGGCAGCTTTGCATACGCATCGACAAGACCGCTGTGTGTGCAAAAACCGTACGGTCGGGCCACAACGTTGCAAGTGTCGTCCTGCAGTGGAAGCAGCTGCTTTGCGTAGAGTTGCGGAGTTGCGTGTCGCATGTTTCAGCACTTGGCATGACATCACCACTGTGCAGACGTGGCAAAGGGTTTTATCTAACCGAGGTGTCGCTAAGTTGACGAGCGAAGCGGCAACACATGCTTTCTGCAGCCGCTGTTGGCAGGGAGCCAGTGGCGCGAAGAAGGGTAGGCAGCAAAACAACGAAAACAGTGCTAACACAGCAACGCTTGTGCTGAGGCACTCGCGGTGTAGAGCCATTCGAATGTGCTAGTGTTGTCAGGGGCCCAAGCTTTATGTGCTTGGAGAGTCCGTAAAGTTTGTATCTAGAAACCCCAAGAGCCAGAGCAGTGTCGTGGAAACACACGGTTTTTTATAGCGCACTGGCATTGATAATTCGACCATGTTTCGTATCGTCGCGAAGGCGAAGCTGTTGCAAAACATCTGACCACCCTAAAGCAGCAGAAAAGTTTCACTCATGGCCGACGTCTCTGCTGCAACATGCGAGGTCCTCTTTGAAGAGCCCTTGGGCAGATACGTCTTGCGGGAAGTCCGAAGTGAGGAGGTCAAAGTGTTGGATGCTGGTGTCTGGCGGCTTGCGCAAACGGAAGCTGGGGATGCCTATGTTGCCAATGGCGAAAAGACGCTTTGGTGCGAAGAGCTTTTGGACATCACTGTGCTACAACATCCTACAAAACAGGAAGATTGGGTTTGCTTGCCCGATGGCACGGACATGGGCTTGAAAGAGTTTCGCTGCAGGCATCATCGCATAGAGGTCCCGTTGAGAGTCGTGGGCTGTGCGACAGAGATGTCACTGCCTTGTCTCCTTTTGAAACAGAGCGTAGACGGTTGCAGACTGCTCTGGTCACTCACTCATCTTCATCGTCTGGTGCTGGGCAAAGCGGAGAAGATGACGCCATCGCGCTGGCTGCATAGCTGGTGGCAGTGGTGGCTGAAGCTCGTCACTCGGTTCCACATGGGCCCAGGGCATCTACGAAAAGCAGCAGGGCAAGATGCAGATGACTCGGAAGTTTACCGCATCTTTGAGGTGCCAGTTGTCAGCACGGCCATGCTGTTACTGCTCAGTGCCAGATTCGCAGCAGATTCCCGCGGGAGCCAGAAAAAAAATCAGCAGTCGAAGGATGGCTGGAGCTCGGCTTTGGCGGCATTGCTTGCGAAGTACGTGCCCGAAAATGACCATGAAATCAGCATCTTCTTGGACACAAGCGTAGTCTTGCGAATGGGCATTCATTGTCGAGGTCGTCACTTGGTAGGTCTCCCTGTGCAGAACGGCTTAGTCGACTTGTCAGCTGTCTTCAGCTGCCAGGACGCTGCAGTTGGGAAGAGGCTAGCGGTCTTTGGTCAGGCCCCGCCTCGCAAGCTCACTCTTGCTGACGCTTTGGTCTGGCTGACGAACGGCGGGAAGCAGGTGCAATGGCTTCTTTCACAGTTCATCCACCGGCTCGCTTGCACGATAGAACATGCCATTCAGGAGCAGTTTTCGAGAAGCAGTGCGACGCCGGGGCTTGCGGCTACAACGCCTTCAGGGCAGGAGGAGGAGGCCGAGCAAATCGCAGCAGGACGTGAGCAACGCCAACAGCAAGCGCGACTTCGCAAAGCCCAGACCGGCATCAAGCCCATGCAGCCGATGCCCTTACACAAGGTCCTCTTGAAGTACTTTTACGCCATGCGGAAGAAGATGGCGACCAGTCGAGTGCTCCATGTCGCATTTGATGCATCAAGGGTGGGAGGACTGAGCTCACTGCTGGGCTTCGTGACGAACGGGGCGGGCGGTGCAGCATGGCTGCCGCCACAGGTGCCTTTGCGATGATTAGAAGGGTTTTGTGCTCTTTTCACGACCCACATAAACTTTTCAAAGCCGCGAACATTCGCGCGCCAAGTGCGCGTTTTCCGAGTGCAAAAGTTTGATACTTTTTTTTGGGAACAGCCATTCTGCTTCAAATCACAGGCACATAAACTTTTTTAGCCACGGATGCGTCCGGACGGACATGTCCAGAGGCATCTCGTCTCAGTCTGAAAACTTGTACCCGAAATGCATGCGGAACCCTTAACTGCCGAGATGGCCTTATAGCTGCCAGCTCAGGTGGTTCCCGACCTCGTGACGCGCACGACGCTGGCCCTTGCACACCAGGACGAGGAGGCGTTGGAGAGAGAACGCACGGAGTACGCAAAGCTTGCCGAGGAGTTTTTCCACTCTGCGGAGAAGTCGGAGAAGACAGTGAAGGTCAGGAAGCTGCGCAGGTGGCCACGGGCGCAGGGTGGAAGCAGTTCCGCGCATCAGGCTCCCCTGAGACATGGCGCAGCATCACCATCTCACTAGACCAAGGCAGCGACGGATGGTCTGCTGCGCATTTTCTGTGCAGTGAGAAGGTGAATGCCTTCATCATCGGTGACGTGAGCCACAGGACCTGGAACGACTGCCAACTGGCCTTGCACGACGTGAAGCTCAACTGGTTGGTTCTGAGTGTGATCTGTCTTCTCAACAGCGACAGCGGCCCTTGGAACTCGGAGCGATGGTGGCAAAGCTTGAAGCAAAGTGCGGACGAGTACGTACAGGTCGCCTCGCACAACAAGGACCCGCTGTACCTGGCCTACGAAGCAGCCATCGTCGAGGAGCAGACCTCTGGCGATGAGATGGCCGAGGGCACGGCAGACCCGGAGCAGCTCTTCAACAGCATTCCGGATGCTTTTGATCACAAGCAGCAAAAAGTGGGCAAGAGCAGGTGGTTCCAAGTCGCAGTTGCCTTGCGCCACTTCTTGCCGCTCCGAGCCAAAAGGTTGGTGGTCAGCTTGTACCTTTGTTTGAGCTTGTGTCTGTTCAAAAGCGGTCGCGCAGCTGACTTGTTGAAACTGCCCTCCGTAACGCTGGCGGCGACCCAAGACGTGCCGAAGACCAACACAGCCACTGATGCAGAGGATGTGCGCGAACTCCGCAAGCAATGCCAGAACACTTTGGTGTTCACGACATCGCTGCTGGCAGATTCCCACATTTGGCAGCGTTTGCGTATCGTGGCCGGCGTACTCGAGCCGGTGCAGCAGTGGCACAGCTGGCAGAACAAGTTGAATCGCTCACCAACAGAAAGCCTCACCTTCTGGCAGCACATGTGCTCCGAAGAGAGTTTCTCGCATGTCAACAGATGTTTGGCCTTGATGAGCGATGTCGACTCTTTGCAGTCAATCAAGGTCACCATACCTGGCCAAAGAGCACTGGAAATCCAGCATCTCAAGACGGAAAGCATCGTGGTCGAGTTGGAGGATGACTTGTGCCATGCTCTAGGAAGCTTGGCTGTGAGCGTCGCCGGGCGGAGGCTGCGGACTTTGTCAGAGCTGCAGGGATACCCTTACAAGTTTCCTGCACTTCTGGGCCCCGCTGCATCGCAAGTGCTGCAGCAGATGCGCCGTGATTGGCAGCCTTGGCAATCAATCCAGGATCTGAAAGGTGCTTTTTGGGAGCGGATGCGGAAAAGAAGCTTCTTCAACCAGCTGAAAGTCTTGCAGATCTTTCAGCTCGCAGCGAACGCAGAATGGAAGATGACAGAAACATTGGCTCAGCTCATCAGGCAAGACTGGAGTGGAATCACCCAGACCAAGCTCATCGAAGATGGTGTGCGAGAGGGACGTGTGGCAGAGATGAATCCAGGTTTCAACAAACGAGTCAAGCCAGAGCGCCTGTACGAGAACCTCATTAATGGAGACGTTGCTTGCAAGAAGCATCGCTTCTCGACCTTGGAGTATGACACGGTGACCCTCCCTCGCGGTTTGGCCTCGAAGTCTGGGAAAGGGCTCTTTCACTCAGCTCCAGGCAAGATTCCCAAGGAGTACAAGAAGGTCTGCAGTGAAAAGCAACAGGCAGACTACCACTCTCCTGCACCTATAATGGGAACCATGCCAACAGAAGATTTGATTTTGGTGAGATGGTGCCAAGAGAGGAAGCAGCTGCATTTGGCGAGATGCTGTTTTTTTGCTTTGCTTGTGGTGCCGATGAAGATGCTCATACGTCACAAATCGTATGAGGGCGGAGCTTGGTTTTTGGCTGTGAGAAACTACACGGGCATGTCAGTCATGGCCTTGAAATTGCAAGCAGTTCAACATTCAGGTCATTCCTTCTTTGCCTGCGAGACAGTGACTCGGCCCCATTTCTTGCCCATCGTGGAAACAGAGAGCTGGCAATGCTGCAGCTTCGCCTTTCGAAGTCCTTTGTTCGTCCGTCTTGCAACTGGTGCTTGGTGCGTGTCGCAAGGCAGCTTGATTCAAGCAACGTCTCAGCCCACGAGCTTGCTGAAACTGGCTGCGCAGAACAGCTTTTGGACACTTCCAAAAACTGCCCTAGCTACCATTGGCAAGGAGGTCGGCGTGCAGCTGGACAAGTCTCGGCCTCTCGCTGAGCTCATTCTGTGCTTCGCAGAAAGTATCCTAGGCGCGCTGTCTGATGAAGAAAAGTTGCGTTTGCTCAGGCTGCGACTCCCCAAAAAGGGAGACGTCGAGGAGTGGTTGCTTCAGCAAGAGGATTTGGGAGATCTGCTTGAGAAGGACGATGCGGAGGAGTTGCAGAAGGAGCGTGATGCCCACAATACTGCGAAGGAGGAGTTTGGCCACAGTGTCCGGCAACTTGCTTCAAAAGTCCGACATGCTCGCAAAGCAAGCCAAAGTTCCCGCAAGAGCTCATCGGCCAGAGAAGAACCGGCAGACAAGAGACGAAGGAGGTACCCGAACAAGGTGCTTGCGATTTGTGAGCAGAGTAGCATTGACAGTTTGAATAGCCTCGTTCCGTCAACCTGCCGCTTCGGAGTCGATCGAATCGACTACTGTTGGCGCTTGAGCGCTTATGGCACTCGATACGGCCGTTCTTGGCAACTTTACGGTGTAGAGGGTGCCGCCAAACAGCTTTTGAAGATCGCTTGGCAGCTGGCAGTGGAAGCAGGGCACGAGGAAAGCTGTCCTTTCCCAGAGCTGGAAGTGCAAGTTGCCCGCTAGTCGCAAGATCCGTGGTTTCATAGGGGAAATCGTGTAAGCTGTTATCCTGTAGGCATTAACCCCATAGCCCCCTCTTAGGTGTAGCAGAGCTTCAACTCGAAAACGGTGCATTTTGCAATATCCATTGTTTAGGCAGAAGATGCGGATAGCGGCGTGACATTGCTGCCAATCCTGTCAGCTCTTTTGAGTTGCAGCCGTGCGGATCTGTAGCAAGGAAGCGTCACAATTCTGAACCGCTTAGTCAACAGAGACGACACACCATAAACTTTGATGTTTTGCGGTTCTACCCACTGAGTCTTGAAGACTTCTGAAATTCTGCAGTATTCTGTAGCTCTCGTGCAAAGAATGCTTCAGACAGCCGGCTTTTGCGATTTTGAGGCTCGCTCCGTCCGTTTACGGCCAATTGTTACTCGAAATAGCTGTTTATGATGTAAACCACAAGATGTATGCTACTAGGATAGCTTTTTGTCGTTGCAGAATAATTCAGTCGTTGTGTAGCTTTCAATCGTGTGGAGCGTTCTTCTGCACTGCAAGTTCCGAGAAGCAGAAACTTCAAATCGAGCTGCCCTTTTCAGATTCGTGGCAGATGTCTGGTGCCACGGTTCTGGCCATCCCGAAAGATACCACCCTTCATACAGCAACAGTAGGGTACTCCTGTAGCTCCGGGTATCATGTCTCAACTTGTTGTGCAACCTAGCTTCAATGCCAGATGTTGGACACAGGGTCCGAGCCGTGGAAGCCGCAAATCTTCTTTGCAGTTCTGAAGACGTACTGTGCTGTGTGAACCCAGCATTGCAAAACAATGAGACCGGTCTGGGTAGCAGTACGCGCATACGCAGCCCCAGGGAACTCAACAGCCTGCCGCTTCCCACAGCCCCCAGGTGTCGAGACCAGACGTTCGGTCGGAGGCTGTATGTAGACTGTCCAGCTCCCCAATATCCAATGTTCTCAGACTAGACACATCTTCAATCATTCACTTGACTCCTAACATTCCTTGTTTCAATACGTGTATTTTGCATTTACGAATGGTTCCGTTTTCAGTCTAGCCACCAAGGTTAGTAAACGGTTAGTCGCATCAGATTCTGCAAAGGTTTGTGCTCTCTAGGGCATCGGAAGCGAAGTGCTTTGCGATCCCAAAGCAAACCTAAAGCCAATATTTGGTTATAGACTTGACATACGGTTGTGGTTTGAGTTAAACTTCCTTGAAAGCGCCCTGTAATCTACGATGAACAGATTGCGTGTTGAACAACAGCAGCCCTGCGAAGACATCCAAACTAGAGGTGGAGATGAGCTAATCCAAAACATGATGCTATGGCCCCAGGCTACTCTTGAGACAATGCCTAGACCCCGTGACATACTGCGTTTGCGCTAGCTGGCACAAGCTGGCTTATTCTAAACGAGCTAGCGGAAGATTGGGTCCAGCAGGACCTGGATTTTGCGGGCTCTTGGGGCCCTTTCGTCTCTTCGCTTGTCCGTTTCTGTCTAGATGTCTAGCGGATTCGTCCCGAAATGACTGTTTGTTTGTTTATGTGGCTTTTTTGGCCCCTATGTATGTCGGAGGCACCGGGATTTTGATGAATGGCTGCAGAAGTTGCAGTAAATTCCTTAGATCAGTAGACTTAACGCCAAGGTGCTGGACAGTTTCGGTCGTTGTGGTCATCGCTTGGCAGAGACCTCAGACTTGTGAGACATTGCTACAGCCATCACTGACGGAAATCTTGATTTGCAATCCTGTGTCATGATTGAGTGCGCATTGTGAAACCCAGCATGCTTGGCCATGCATCTGGCTTGCAGCCAGGCCTGTAGGAAGCAGAGCAGTTTGAAAGTAGCCCGGGTGCTGAATAGTGATTCATCATGGAAAGCCTCAGTGAAATGGTGGTGCTTGTGGAGGTTGGCACAGGCAAATCCAATTTGCTGCTTGGTGAGCGGCTGGAGGGCAATCGCAGATGCAAGATTACAAGGCACACATTGATGGAGGTGTCTGCAGAGAGTTGGCAACTTCTCAGCGATGTTCAGCGGCCAGAAAAGGTTGAAGCTTATTCGAACATGGCCAAGGCTTGGGTGGCAAAGCAAGTGGGGAGCCACAAAGCCGAAAACGCTTCTTACCTTCTGACCTTCACTGGGCGGGCCCATGATATGAACATCGAAGCATCGGGCAAAGGCTTCGAGGTGGTTCGGCTCAATTCGGACGATGAGGCTCGTTTGGACGTTTCTTCCGCCATACTTGCAGCTGAAATGGCTGGACTCCCTCCTGTCCGATTGCTTGCGTTCTTGGGGGCGGGTACTCAGCAGATTGGCTCAGTCCGAAACGGGGAGGTGGCCGTGGTGGCCTGCAGCGATGGTGGGTCGTCATGCATCCCCGATGAGGCCATGCTCCAGAATTACGCAGACGTGATCGCATCAATGACAACTACGCCAGGAGCACTTTGTCAAACAGATCCCACCCTATTGACCCACGCGCTCCTTTAGGGTATGGCTTCCTTGCGATACGTGTCACCATCTCCCACAACATATCCCACAACATCTCCCACAGCATCCCACAACTGCAAATCTTAACAAGCTGGAGATAGGTTCAAGTAGATGATAAGAATCCATGAAATCTTCTGTGGGACGTACCAGGAGATCAGGACACGAAGGAAGGAGAGCACACTAGCATTGATAACCAATGAGTTCAATTATGTCATTGTCAGGATGATTTGTAATTTTTTCGGGGTTGCATAAATATGCGATTGAAAATGCCAAACGCGCTCAACCCCGGTAATGCTTCAGAAACTGGTTCAAGATCCGGGTACGCATGTACCTGTCATAAGAATTCCCAAAGCGCGAGCACTCACATTTCATAGCGGTTTGCAGACAACATGTCAAACTCAGAGCCTCCGCAGCTTCATCTCACTTCCTGCAACCAGAAACCACCACAGATTTTTAATAGGATGCAGCGGTTTCTGGGTGTTCCCAACTCTTAGTTTCCTCTCTGCTCGAGACATCTCTCTTGCAGACCCTGTGACGTCATAAGGTTATATGAACCCATTCCAGCAAGCTCTGTAATGAAAGCTATTCAGCGAGCATGGCCATCGAAAACTCTTCCAGCTCTGTCACCATGCGGCAGCGCATGTACCTGTTGAAATGAGCTGCTCTGAGCCATGCGCATGCAAGTGCAAAAGCGAGATGTCTGAGCTCCTGACGTGCGGTGGCCCGTCAAGTGCTCCCGGGAGTTCCACAAATGCTCCAAGGTCAGCTGGAGCTCTGCGAAGCCGGCATCCTGGTAGCTACATGAGGCTGGGCGTAAACTGCCAGCGGAGAGCAACAGGCACTGCGCTGCCTTGAACCTGAAGACCAACGTGAGGTCTTTCCACCCGGCATCGTCGAGGAACTTGTTCTTCACCTTGCAAACCTCGACGCTGCCCTGCCGCCCGGGTCACCAGCTCGCAACATCCAGTCAAAACTTTATGCTGGCATGGTGCGGCAGTGGCCGTAACGCGTCTCACTTCTCCCTATTAATAACTGAGAGCAGGAGGCTGTGGGGCCTGGGTTGTTGAAACACCACATTTTGTATATTTTGCGTATAGGATGACTTTCAAGATCTAGAAACCCTGAACATTCCCCCCAAGTTGCAAGGGGCAACCTTCAAACCAGAGGTTTATAATTCAATAAGCAATGATATCACTGTTGTCATGCAATAAACGGGAAACATGAGAGATTGCTGGAAGCCAACTTGCCGAAGATTCTAACTAGTGTAATATGCTTTGTTTCATTGGCTGTAGTGGCTCCCATGCATTATATTTCCAGCCTCATTTCCATGCAAAACCCTCAGAAACACCGCAAATACCGATGAATTTGCTATGTAGGGGCTTGTAGATTTTCCTATTGAAAGTATGCAACTCCAGTTCTAGTGGGCATCAACATGCGTCAGCTTCATTTCACTAAAACATAATGAGGAATCTACGGAAGGTTCTTACTTGGAGGGTCAGGGAGACTAAGTAAGTAGGTTAATAACCCTTATAACCCATATAGTAACCCTAGTCATCCCCATTGTTAACCCACTTACTAAGTCCCCCTGACCCCCCAAGTAGTGTCCCAGAACTAGGCTGTAGGTAAATGTTCAGAAACTGTTATGAAGGAATCAGTCAAGATAAACACCTTTTTCAGCACGGACTGAGGTGCCGGCCAGCGCCCACGAAACTCGTAGCCCCGTTTTAAGGCAAGATAAACACCTAAACCAACAACGGGAAGCCCAACAGTTTCGCTCCATGACGAAGAGAGTAAAACTACTTTGTGCATCAAGAAGTTGCGAGCTTGCGTTCTCATTGGGATCTGTTGTTCAATAAGAGTCCGAAAAGGTTCCATTCTCATTCATAAAATCGGTAGGCTTCACAGTCACAGTATCTTGTACAGTTAAAGGTCAAATCGGGTATCGCCTGTTTTTTTTGAGACTTCTCCATTCGTCAACAAGAAAACCAAAACTCTTGCACTGTATCACACAGTAGAGGGATTCTCTCCTACTCTTTCTGATTTCTCATAACGGGACTTAAGAACCCTCTGCACGGTTTCTTTGAAGTCCTTTATACTTCTTTAAGAGGAACTGAAGGGATTCCTTCGTGGAGTGGATGCTAGAATCCTCATCAACAAGTAGAAGAGCTGAGGTATGTCTTGGTATTGATTTATGAATACGTCAAGGCTCAAAAAAGTGAGGGCTTAGAAAACAGGCAACCAACAAAGATGACAAAAAGGAAGCCAACAAAGTATCGATACACAGGATATATACTGCACAGAAGCTTATACTAACATGCTTAAAGGGTAACACGGTAGAGGTCATGGGTAGATTTGTGCGAGGGTCTCAGGACATGGGTTTGCTTATGCCTGAACCTCGTATGGATTCTTAGCTTCGTATCTTTAAAGCAGGGCATTAGTCGCAGGCATGCCCAAAACATAGAAGCAAGCCCTAGCAACTTGTGCCGAAACAGCAAATTCAGCGGTATTTGCCGTGTTTTCTAAGATTTTTC